TGTGGGGGGGAAAGAGGAGGAGCAGGATGTCCAGCCTGGCAGTGACAAATACGAGACCAAACCAGCCCCTCTTCTTTCCCATGAACTCTCCTCTCTCTGCTTTCCACAGAAGCTTTGGAAAATGCTGGAAAGCGACGAGTTCAGGTCCATTTGGTGGAGCGAGAGTGGAAAATGCATAGCAGTCAATGAGGAACTCTTCCAAGAGGAGGTGCTGGGCAGGACAGGGCCTCTGCGGGTTTTTGCCATGCAGAAGATGAAGAGTTTTGTTCGGCAGCTGAATCTCTATGGATTCACCAAAATTAAACGGGACTTTGAAAGATCTGCCTCCCTGCCTGAATTCCTGGCAGAAGAAGCAGCAGCTGCTGCTCACAGCAAGGTACAGCAGCTGCCCTGCACATCAGATAAGGCTCACAACAGGCGTGGGGGACAGGCACACCTGCACAGCAAGTAGCAGGAGAGGAGATGGGGATGGTAGCAACAGGTCTGGTCTGAATTCCTTCTCAGGTCATTTCCAGCAAGTGTTAAGTTAGCCTTTCTGACTAATAGAAGTGTGGATAAAACACAGGTCAGCTAGAGTTGCTCAGTTTGAACCTGTTACATGGAAAGACAGGCTCAGCGTAACCTGATTGCTTTTAAAGCCTTTCTACATGTCTTGCAAATCCGAAACGTCCCCGCAGCACCTGCTGAAAGCTGAGGAGATGGATCTAAGGACCATGGTATGACCTGCCTGATGACATCCACTCTGAAGTTGCAGGAAATGGAGTGGTATCTGGCTTTTGAGAACAGCTGTTATGCTTTTGAAAACCCTACACTGCTCTGCTCCCCGGCAGCAACAACCCAGGGGCAGCAATGACTGAACACAACTGCTGTGCAACGTTTCAGCCTGAGCTTCAGGTCTCAGCCCCCAGAGGCCTTTTCAGTAGCCACGTTCATCTTTAACACTCAGAGCCTTAGTTCCCACAGTTGGTGGTTTCCAGTCTTGGGGTGGAGGCAACTAACTCTTCTCCTTCTCTTTTTTTAGATACTCTACTACTATAATCCCAACTTCACCAGAGAGCATCCCCACCTGCTGCAGAAGGCCAGGAGAAGAGGTGGCCTCAAGCGGAAAGCCCCAGATGCACCAGAGATGGATGGAAGCCCCCCCTCCAGAAGGGCAGCCTGCAAGGGAGCCAGCCTGCAAGGGACGCTCGGGTGTCTCCACCCACGAGGACCACACCTACCAGATGAGAGGTGAAGCACCTCCCAGCCCTGGCAGCACCTGTCCATCTCCACCAGTAGCCGCTGCCGTCCTTCCCGAGCTCGCCGGAGCAACGGACAGGGAGAGGGTCATC